CATACACAAATCATAAAATATTTTAACGTCTATTAAAATCCACAAGAAAGGTGCATGCCTTGCTGGGCGGAGTAGTCTACATACTATCTCTACTATTCTGTGTCCATTCCTGTGGTCTTGTCTTCATTCTCACAGCTTCCTCACCCTGAATGGCCTCCTTTTAATATAAATCCTCATTTACAACCTAGCAGTATTTTCTTGAAGCGTTATCACCAATATAAGTCTTCATTACTATTAACTATGATTTTCAAAATATTTTCTGGCGTGGCATAATTCAAGTTTATCATAGAATGTGTTTTTCAAAACAAGACTGAATATAAAGCCCTGTGGGAGAAAACCTCAACATTTCTCACTTGTGATTAATCTTTAGATATAAGCTGAGTTCACATAACTATGAGGTATAGTTCTCAATTTTTACTTTACCACATAATTGACTAATGTCCATCAGACCATTCTAGAGTTTTATCTAATATTTTATTAAAATCAGGATAACCAAGGAGCATCCCATTCTTTTACTCTAACAATATAGCAAAAATATAATGAAACACAAACTTTTTAGGTATATTTTGTCAATCTTACGGTGTTCTGAGTTACACTGCTTTCTGTTATGAAATTCAAAACTATTTTCTCTTGAAAGGAAATCTTGCCATTTTATACAACATGGATGAACATGAAGAATGCTACCCTAAGTAAAATAAACCAGTCCAAAAAGACAAATACTCCCAATGCTCCTTTAAGTATATAAAAGAGTAAAGCTTATAGAAGCAAAGAATACAATAATGGCAACCAGTGTCAGAGCTTTAGGAGAAACATGGAGCAGTTATTCAATAGATTTTAATCATCAGTTATGTTAGATGAAGAAGTCCTAAAAATGTTCAATACAGTATGATTCCTAAGGTTAACAATATGGTGTTTTACTTCCAAGATGAGAGGAGATCTCATATTAAGTATTCTTACCATAAATAAAAACAAAGAAAAGAACAAAGGGAAACAAAAAGTGAAAGATGGTAGATATATGTCAATTATCTTGAGTATGGTGGTAATATCACTAGTGTTTGCCTAGATCTAAACTAAATAAATTGTATACAATAAATACATACAAGTTTTGAATATCAATTCTGCCTTAATAAAACTGTTAAAAAATATATACCTTTTTTCTCTTAAATTGTTTTGCTTATGATTCATTGATCTCAAAGATGAATCAAATAAGTGCAGACTAACACTACTGCAGGGAAGGTTAGTGGAAATTCTGCACAAAGACATTGAAGCACCCAGGTTGCATGAGCAAAGCAGGACAGGAAGCAGTCGCAATGAAGAGCACATATCAGAGTCAGACTTTAGCAGGGACTGGTCTCATAGAATGGGTCAGTGTACCATACCTGCTGTCAGAATTGCAATGACTGAGCAAGATATAATGGAGCTTCTGTGATGGGGGTTAGCATTCAGTGGGACAGTCTGTGTGAGGCCAAGAATGCTGAAAAAGTTGTCAGCTTGAAAATCATAAAGAGTACGACATATGGAAGGATATGTGCCTTTATCCATTTTGTGTTTCTGTAGCAGAATACCACTAACCAGGTGTGTATGATGAACAGAAATTTATGTGGCTTAATATACTAGAGACTGGGAAGTTCAAGGTTAAAGGGTCACTTCTAGTGAAGGCCTTCTTGCTGCATCCCATGGTAAATGATCAAGGACCAGAGTACCCACAGGAGACAGAGGAAAGGGACAAACTATTTCTCATATTAGGAACCTACATCTGTGATGATTAGCCCATTCTCTGAACAGGCCACGAGTAACCCTCTGCTTCATAATTTGAAGAACTGACACACTATTTGCATAACAGTTTGTACATTGTATAGTTCCTTCAGCAGTGGATGAGGGTTCCAATGTCGTCACACTCTTGTCAATCTTTCTGTTTATGGGTCCTGTTAGTTATTATTGTTAGTTATTATTCTGATGGATGTGAAATGTTTCCTCACTATGGTTATGATTTGAATATCCTTAACAAATGGTGAATAACATTTTCAGGGCTTTATTTGTCAATTTTTGGCTCAAATAGAAGAGTGCTTATTGGAATCCTCTGACCTATTTCCAACTGTGCTGCTTTCCTTTTCATTGTTAAACTGTTAGAGTTCTTTTTGAATACTGACCGTGAATATTTCCTTGTTATTTCTAGTGTCCAGAAAAACTAATATTAACTGAAAATACTTTCCAATAATGTGTGGTATTACAGAATTACTATGGGCATTGATATTTTTTTTCAGGGAGAGTAACAGTGTGATTTTTATTGAGGATATAACTGAAAATTTATAACAAGAGCAAGTTTATTTCTCTCTTTTTCATTTCAAATCTCCTATTTCTTTTTTTATTTGTTCTTTTAACATATGCATAATAGTTAAGTGCATTTTGCCATGTTATACATACCTAGTTATTGTCTTTCCAATGGATGTGAAATGTTTCCTCACTATGGTTATGATTTGAATATCCTAAACAAATGATGAATAACATACTTTCAGGGCTTTATTTTTCATTTTTATGTCTCAGTGAGACCCTGTCTGTAAAAAACTACAAAATAGGGCTGGGGATGTTGCTCAGTGGTAGAGTGCCCATGAGTTCATTTTCCAGTACTTAAAAAAAAAAAAAAGCGAGGCCGAGAAGGAGGCTGAGAGTGAGGCCGAGAGCAAGAGCGAGAGCTAGGAAAGACCAGTAGCAAACTGAAATAACACAATGCCAAAAAGACAAAAAGCAAGGTGAACAGAAATAACTTAGGTGGATATTTTTCTTCAAAAGACATTTTTTTTCTTTTCTTTAAAAAAAAAAAAACTTTTATGGTGTCCAACTAACTATTGTTTTTTTTTCCTATGGTAGTCTCTGGTTTTGGTATCAGAGAAACTATCATTAAATCCTAGGTCACAAGGATTTGGCCTTTATTTTTTAAATTATTATTATAAAGTTGGTTCTTCCTTTTAGTTCTAGTGCATTTTGTAGTTCATTTCTTGGGGACAGTGTGAGAAAGAGTTCCAAATTTTATTTATTTATTTATTTATTTATATGCCTGTTTGTTTGTTTGTTTTGCAATGCTGAGGATTGAACCCAGTGCTTTGTGCTGCTAGGCACGTGCTTTACCAAGGATCTACATTCCCAGCCCCAAATTACATCTTTTACGTAGAGTTTATTGTTCTAGCACCACTTATCAAAAGAATATTTTTCCCATTAAATTTTCATGAAATCCTTGTAACAAATCAATTGATCACAGATGTGTTTTATTTCTGGATTATCAATTCTATTCTATTGATCTTTTTGTCAGAATTGCAATGACTGAGCAAGATATAATGGAGCTTCTGTGATGGGGGTCAGCATTCAGTGGGACAGTCTTGTGTGAGGCCAAGAACACTGAAAAAGTTGTCAGCTTGGAAAACATAAAGAGTACGACATATGGAAGGATATGTGCCTTCCATATACTTATACTTAGGACAAAATCACACTATCTAATTTTGTAAAGAGTTTTCAAATAGCAAACTGTGAGCTCTCCAAATAAAAAAAAATTAATACTGGGAATTCCTTTTATTTTCATAAGAATTTTATCATTGGCCTGAGTTATGGTTTTGATCTTATGTGTCTCCTCAAAGCTCATCTGTAAGACAATGAAAGAAAATTTGGAGGTGAAATGATTGGGTCATGAGATCCTTAATTCTTTAGTGAGTTAATCTCCTGAGTGGTGACTGAAGGCAGATAAGGTATGGCTGGAGGAGGTGGGCATCAGAGGTGTGCCTTTGGGGTATATATTTTGAATCTTTTGAGTGCACTCTCTCTGCTTCTGGATCTTCATATCTTGAGCCGATTCCCTCCACCACATACTTCCACCTGATGCTCAGCCTCACCTCAAGCCCTGAGGAGTGGAGCTGGATATCTATGAACTGAGACCTCTAAAACTGTGAGCCCCCAAATAAAATTTTATCTCCTCTGAAATTGTTCTTGTCAGGTCTTTTAGTCACAACAGTGAACTGAATATAAAGGTCTGTCCAGGCATAAAAGACAGAGCTGGGAGTTTGAGAGGAATGACACTAAATTTGTAGATCCATCTGGGTAGTACTGATGTTTTCACTGGTTGAGTCATTGATTAATGAAATTGGATGTATTTTCATTTATGAAGATTTTTCTTTGCATTCAAATTATCTTTTAATCATAAGTGAAATGTAGTACGTTTCAATTTTTAGTTTATTCTTATTAATTTTATTGTTCATGTTATTTTAAAAATTTTGATTGCTCACTGCAAATGTTTAGAAATATAATTGAGTTATTCAGTTTATCTGGTATTCTGCCACCTTGCTTCACTTTGATTTACTCCCAGCAGTTCTTTTTGTAGATTTTGTAGATTCCGTATAGAATTTTCTATACACAAGATTATGTCATTTACAAGTAAGATACTGTTACTCCTTGTTTTCCAATATTAATTTATTATAATTTTATTTTCTTTCCTGATTGCCCTAGCCAGACCTTGAGTCTGTTGTTGAATAAACGTGCAGAGAGTGGGCATCTTGCCTAGCTCATTATTTTAGAAAGAAAAGCTTTCTGTTTTCTATCATTATGTATGATCTCAGCATGTTTGTGTTTTTTTTAAATGCTATTGTTGTTTTAACATAAAAAGAATTTAAGAATATGCTCTGCAGAGGACTTGAGAATATTACACATGAGGTATGGAAAATACTCAAAAACTCAGTTACCAAAACGGTTTCCTATGTATTCAGACTGGATTCTACTAAAAACATATTTTAAAGCACATAACACAAATAGGGATAGTTCTATATGATATTTATTGACATGTCACACATTCTTATGATTCCAGTATCATTGACAGCTGACACAGTTGAAGGGCTGGGAAAAAAATGAGATACTTTGCTAAAAAGACTTGAATTCTCTCTTGTACATATTGTTGTGTGATCGGACAATAAATATTTCAAAAATTTTCTTCTCTTCCTACTTAGAATTCTCAGAAGACAATGGCAGAAGAAAATCGTTCTACAGTGACTGAGTTCATCCTGGCTGGGTTAACAGACAGACCAGAGCACCAGCTGCCCCTCTTCCTCCTCTTCCTAGAGGTCTATGTGTTCACAGTGGTGGGGAACCTGGGCATGATCACACTGATTGGGCTCAGCTCTCGTCTGCACACAACTATGTACTACCTGCTCAGCAGTCTCTCCTTCATTGACCTCTGTCAACCTACTGTGATTACCCCCAAAATGCTGGTGAACTTCATGATGGAGAAAAACACCATCTCCTACCCTGAATGCATGACTCAACTCTACTTTTTCATTGTTTTTACAATTGCAAAGTGTCACATGTTGTCTGTAATGGCATATGACCCCTATGTTGCTATTTGTAACCCCTTGCTTTACAATGTTATCATGTCTAATCAAGTCTGTTCCTGGATGGTAGTTGGAGTGTACAGCATGGGCTTAATTCGTGCCACAGTTAACACAATCTGCATGCTAAGAGTGCTTTTCTGTAAGGATGATATAATAAACCATTATTTCTGTGATCTCTTTCCTCTACTAGAGCTCTCTTGCTCCAGTACATTTATAAATGAGGTAATAGGTCTGTCCTCAAGTGCAACCATGTCCATCCTACATCTTCTTTTTTTAAAATTTTTTTATTCATGGTTGTTCAAAACATTACATAGTTCTTGATATATCATATTTCACACTTTGATTCAAGTGGGTTATGAACTCCCATTTTTACCCCGTATACAAATTACAGAATCACATCAGTTACACATCCATTGATTTACATATTGCCATACTAGTGTCTGTTGTATTCTGCTGCCTTTCCTATCCTCTACTATCCCCCCTCCCCTCCCCTCCCCTCCCCTCCCCTCTTCTCTCTCTACCCCCTCTACTGTCAATCATTTCTCCCCCTTGTTTTATTTTCCTCTTTCCCCTCACTTCTTCTTGTATGAAATTTTGTATAACCCTGAGGGTCTCCTTCCATTTCCATGCAATTTCCCTTCTCTCTCCCTTTCCCTCGCACCTCTCATCCCAGTTTAATGTTAATCTTCTTCTCATGCTCCTCGTCCCTACTCTGTTCTTAGTTACTCTCCTTATATCAAAGAAGACATTTGGCATTTGTTTTTTAGGGATTGGCTAGCTTCACTTAGCATAATCTGCTCTAATGCCATCCATTTCCCTGCAAATTCTATGATTTTTTTTGTCATTTTTTAATGCAGAGTAATACTCCATTGTGTATAAATGCCACATTTTTTTAAATCCATTCGTCTATTGAGGGGCATCTAGGTTGGTTCCACAGTCTTGCTATTGTGAATTGTGCTGCTATGAACATCGATGTAGCAGTGTCCCTGTAGCATGCTCTTTTTAGGTCTTTAGGGAATAGACCGAGAAGGGGAATAGCTGGGTCAAATGGTGGTTCCATTCCCAGCTTTCCAAGAAATCTCCATACTGCTTTCCAAATTGGCTGTACCAATTTGAAGTCCCACCAGCAATGTACAAGTGTACACTTTTCCCCACATCCTCACCAGCACTTGTTGTTGTTTGACTTCATAATGGCTGCCAATCTTACTGGAGTGAGATGGTATCTTAGGGTGGTTTTGATTTGCATTTCTCTGACTGCTAGAGATGGTGTGCATTTTTTCATGTGCTTGTTGATTGATTATATGTCCTCCTCTGAGAAGTGTCTGTTCAGGTCCTTGGCCCATTTGTTGATTGGGTTATTTGTTATCTTATTGTCTAATTTTTTGAGTTCTTTGTATACTCTAGATATTAGGGCTCTATCTGAAGTGTGAGGAGTAAAGATTTGCTCCCAGGATGTAGGCTCCCTATTTACCTCTCTTATTGTTTCTTTTGCTGAGAAAAAACTTTTTAGTTTGAGTAAGTCCCATTTGTTGATTCTAGTTATTAATTTTTGTGCTATGGGTGTCCCATTAAGGAATTTGGAGCCCAACCCCACAGTATGTAGATCGTAGCCAACTTTTTCTTCTATCAGACGGCATGTCTCTGATTTGATATCAAGCTCCTTGATCCATTTTTAATTAACTTTTGTGCATGGCAAGAGAAAGGGATTCAGTTTCATTTTGTTGCATATGGATTTCCAGTTTTCCCAGCACAATTTGTTGAAGTTGCTATCCTTCCTCCATTGCATGCTTTTAGCCCCTTTATCAAATATAAGATAGTTGTAGTTTTTTGGATTGGTTTCTGTGTCCTCTATTCTGTACCATTGGTCCACCCGCCTGTTTTGGTACCAGTACCATGCTGTTTTTGTTACTATTGCTCTGTAGTATAGTTTGAAGTCTGGTATTGCTATACCACCAGATTCACACTTCCTGCTTAGCATTATTTTTGCTATTCTGGGTCTTTTATTTTTCCATATGAATTTCATGGTTGCTTTCTCTATTTCTACAAGAAATGCCATTGGGATTTTGATTGGCATTGCATTAAACCTATAGAGAACTTTTGGTAATATCGCCATTTTGATGATGTTAGTTCTGCCTATCCGTGAACAGGGTATATTTTTTCCATCTTCTAAGATCTTCTTCTATTTCTCTCTTTAGGGTTCTGTAGTTTTCATTGTATAAGTCTTTGACCTCTTTTGTTAGGTTGATTCCCAAGTATTTTATTTTTTTGAGAATATTGTGAATGGAGTGGTTGTCCTCATTTCCATTTCAGAGGATTTGTCACTGATATACAGGAATGCCTTTGATTTATGCGTGTTGATTTTATATCCTGCCACTTTGCTGAATTCATTTATTAGCTCTAATAGTTTTTTGTAGACCCTTTTGGGTCTGCTAGGTATAGAATCATGTCACCTGCAAATAGTGATAATTTAAGTTCTTCTTTTCCTATTTTTGTGCCTTTAATTTCTTTCGTCTGTCTAATTGCTCTGGCCAGTGTTCCGAGAACTATGTTGAACAGAAGTGGTGAGAGAGGGCATCCCTGTCTTGTTCCAGATTTTAGAGGGAATGCCTTCAGTTTTTCTCCATTCAGAATGATGCTAGCCTGAGGCTTAGCATAGATTGCTTTTACAATATTGAGGTATGTTCCTGTTATCCCTAGTTTTTCTAGAGTTTTGAACATAAAGGGATGCTGTACTTTGTCGAATGCTTTTTCCACATCTATCGAGATGATCATATGGTTCTTATTTTTAAGTCTATTGATGTGGTGAATAACATTTATTGATTTCCGTATATTGAACCAGCCTTGTATCCCAGGGATGAATCCTACTTGATCATGGTGCACAATTTTTTTGATATGTTTTTGTATCCGATTCGCCATAATTTTATTGAGGATTTTTGCATCTAGGTTCATTAGAGTTATTGGTCTGTAGTTTTCTTTCTTTGAAGTGTCTTTGTCTGGTTTAGGAATCAGGGTGATGTTGGCCTCGTAGAATGAATTTGGAAGTTCTCCCTCTTTTTCTATTTCCTGAACTAGCTTGAAAAGTATTGGTATTAGTTCCTCCTTAAAGGTTTTGTAAAACTCTGCTGTATACCCATCCGGTCCTGGGCTTTTCTTAGTTGGTAGTCTTTCGATGGTTTCTTCTATTTCCTCAATTGATATTGGTCTGTTTGGTTGTCTATATCCTCCTGACTCAATCTGGGCAGATCATATGACTTAAGAAATTTATCGATGCCTTCACTATCTTCTAATTTATTGGAGTATAAGGATTCAAAATAATTTCTAATTATCTTCTGTATTTCTGAAGTGTCTGTTGTGATATTGCCTTTTTCATCCCTTATGCTAGTAATTTGAGTTCTCTCTCTTCTTCTCTTCATTAGCATGGCTAAGGGTCTGTCAATTTTATTTATTTTTTCAAAGAACCAACTTTTAGTTTTGTCAATTTTTTCAATTGTTTCTTTTGTTTCAATTTCATTAATTTCAGCTCTGATTTTAATGATTTCTTGCCTTCTACTTCTTTTGCTGTTGTTTTGCTCTTCTTTTTCTAGGATTTTGAGATGAAGTATGAGATCATTTATTTGTTGTTTTTTTTTTTTTTTTAAGGAATGAACTCCAAGCAATGAATTTTCCTCTTAGAACTGCTTTCAATGTGTCCCATAGATTCCGATATGTTGTGTCTGTGTTTTCATTTATCTCTAAGAATTTTTTAATTTCCTCCTTGATGTCTTCTATAACCCATTGATCATTCAGTAACCTATTGTTCATTCTCCAAGTGATGCATGATTTTTCCTTCCTTCTTTTATCGTTGATTTTCAGTTTAATTCCATTATGATCAGATAAGATGCATGGTATTATCTCTACTCCTTTATATTGTCTAAGAGTTGCCCTGTGACATAATATATGATCTATTTTTGAGAAGGATCCATGTGCTGCTGAGAAAAAAGTGTAACTGCTTGATGTTGGGTGGTATATTCTATATATGTCAATTAAGTCTAGGTTATTAATAGTGTTATTGAGTTCTATAGTTTCCTTATTCAACTTTTGTTTGGAAGATCTGTCCTGTGGTGAGAGAGGTGTGTTGAAGTCTCCCATGATTATTGTATGGTGGTCTATTAGACTCTTGAACTTGAGAAGAGTTTGTTTGATGAACATAGCTGCACCATTGTTTGGGGCATATATATTTATGATTGTTATGTCTTGTTGGTGTATGGTTCCCTTGAGCAGTATGTAGTGTCCCTCTTTATCCCTTTTCATTAACTTTGGCTTGAAATATATTTTATTTGATATGAGTATGGACACTCCTGCTTGTTTCCAAAGTCCATATGAGTGATATGATTTTTCCCAATCTTTCACCTTCAGCCTATGTATGTCTTTTCCTATCAAATGCGTCTCCTGTAGGCAGCATATAGTTGGGTCTTGTTTTGTGATCCATTCTACTAGCCTGTGTCTCTTAATTGGTGAGTTTAAGCCATTGACATTTAGGGTTATTGAGATATGGGTTGTTCTTCCAGCCATATTTGTTTATTTCTGTTACTAAACATGGTTTGTTTTTCTCTTTGATTATTTTTCCCCCTTTATTGTCCTACCTCCCACTGTTGGTTTTCATTGTTATTTTCCATTTCCTCTTCCTGTAATGTTTTGCCGAGGATGTTTTGAAGAGATGGTTTTCTAGCTGCAAATTCTTTTAACTTTTGTTTATCGTGGAAGGTTTTAATTTCATCTTCCATCCTGAAGCTTAATTTCGCTGGATACACAATTCTTGGTTGGAACCCATTATCTTTCAGTGTTTGAAATATGTTATTCCAGGATCTTCTAGCTTTCAGAGTCTGTGTTGAAAGATCAGCTGTTATCCTGATTGGCTTACCCCTAAATGTAATCTACTTCCTTTCTCTTGTAGCTTTTAAAATTCTCTCCTTATTCTGTATGTTGGGCATCTTCATTATAATGTGTCTAGGTGTGGATCTCTTATGATTTTGCACATTCGGCATCCTGTAGGCTTCTAGGATTTGGGATTCTGTCTCATTCTTCAAGTCTGGGAAGTTTTCTCATATTATTTCATTGAATAGATTGCTCATTCCTTTGGTTTGAACCTCTATCCCTTCCTGTATCTGAATGACTCTTAAGTTTGGTCTCTTTATGTTATCCCATATTTCTTGGATGTTCTGCTCATGGTTTCTTAATAGTCTTGCTGAGCTGTCTATGTTCTTTTCAAGTTGAAATACTTTGTCTTCATTGTCTGATGTTCTATCTTCTAAGTGTTCTACTCTGCTGGTAGTATTCTCAATTGAGTTTTTAAGTTGGTTTATTGCTTCCTGCATTTCTAGGATTTCTGTTTGTTTGTTTTTTATAACCTCTATCTCCCTGTATAGTTGATCTTTTGCTGCCTGGATTTGTTTGTGTAATTCATTGTCGAAGTGATCTTTCATTGTCTGATTTTGCTGTCTAATGTCTTCCTTGAGACTCCAGATCATCTGAAGCATGTATATCCTGAATTCTTTATCTGACATTCCATCTGCTGCAGATATTACCTCTTCTAACGTTGAGTTGACCTGCATTGCTTGTTGTCCTTTCTTTCCTTGTCTTTTCATACTGCTCGCATTTCTTTCTGCTTGGTGAAACTGTTGTGCTATTGAATTTTCCCCCTGTATATTTATATTGTTCTTGTATAGTTGCAAAGTCTCCCTCGCAGGCGCGGGCGGTGGCTCTGCCCCTCCTCCAATTGGGGCAATTTGCCTACCATGCTGGCAGGCTGCTGGGCCTGTTCTGCCGGTCGGTAGCAGGTCCGCCTACCTTGCAGGCGCGGGCGGTGGCTCTGCCCCTCTGCGTGCCGCTGGCCTGTTCCATCCGTGGTCACAGTTCCCCATCCTACATCTTCATCATAGCCAGCATCCTGCACATTTGCTCCACTGAGGGCACGTACAAAGCCTTCAGCACCTGCAGCTCCCACGTCTTAGCTGTTGCTCTCTTCTTTGGTTCTCTAGCATTCATGTACCTGCAGCCATTATCAGTTGGCTCCATGGACCAAGGAAAAGTGTCCTCTGTCTTTTACACTATTATTGTGCCCATGCTGAACCCTCTGATCTACTGCCTAAGGAATAAAGATGTCAAAGTGGCCCTAAGTAAACTTCTTGGAAATAAAAGTTTGTGAAAGAGTATTATTGTTTAGCAAAAACTTTTGATTTGTACAGATTTAGTAAGGAAGCAATTCTGAAACACTGATGGGTTTTTCACAAGGCGTGAGAGGTTGCTAGCACTTCATTATTTGGAGGAAAGGTGCCAAGAACAGGACTGGATTCACAGGATCAGATACATTGAGGACAGCACCCCACTGGGAAACCCCAGACTCCATCTACTATGAATAACCTCTATCACCTCCAGATATTTGAAAACATTTTTCAAATTCTTCCAAATATAAAATATTGCTCATATTTTATGTGTTTGGAACATAAGTCTGTTTGGGCAAAATTCATTTACATTAAATCAGGCAATACATATCTTCATTATTCTTTGATATTATTAATACTTTATGTAAGTTTCTTAGCAAGAATTTTCTAAATTGTTACCTAAAATAAACAATTTTAACTACTTGGAATATACAAAACATAACCTCTAATTCTTACAAAGTATAGAGCACTATATTAAGGGATAGGAAGGCACATAAAGTGTGATGATATTATTTCTATGTGGGAAATAACAATAGTGACACCAGTCTTGGAGATCAGAAACAGGTACATTTTCCACAGGTGTGGAAGATTCAACATCTGAGAAATGCCAAGGCAAGCACAGAAAGAATATTTTATTTAAGAAAAGAGATACCAACAGGCTTCTCCAAAGAGAAAGAGACCCAAAACTGGTTGTTCATGATTCTGGGTTTGTCTTGGTCTTCTTCTTTTTTTAATATTTATTTTTTTGTAGTTGTACACAGTAACTTTTATTTATTTTTATGTGGTGCTGAGGATCAAACCCAGGGCCTTGCACACGCAGGCGACTGCTCTACCACTGAGCCATAACCCCAGCCCCTCGTCTTGGTCTTTTATAGACCCCAGAAGTCCTCACCTTCTCTTTATGTTCATGTTTCGGCCTAAGGTCAGGAAAGGACAAGAGCACAGGGGGTAATTGTTAGCAACCCAGTGAGCTGGGAAGTGTGTTCCCAGAAGTAAGCTTTAAGCAACCCATTGTCTTTTCTGTTTGATAATCAGTAATAACCAGTCATCAACCTGTCTCAACTCTAATCACTCAATATATACACTAACAGACCTTCACCCCCTGCTTCAGTTTGTTGAGGAATGTGACATATTCAATCCCCTCTGGCCAGGTGGGGCTATAGTCATTATGTGTTTCAGCAAAAGAAAGCCTGTGGGAAGTCAGTACAATAGGTTCATTTTACAGAAACTTTCTTAACTTCATGTTCCCATCATTCTCATCTATCTGTATCTATTCCCCACTCAAGGACTTTTGGCCCCTAAATTCTTTTAGGGTATATAGATGTCAACTCATTCTGGATACTTCCTGCTGAAAAGGGGTGACATCTAGAGGAATAAAACTCAAAGTTCTTGTTCTCCATTAGAAGGGGCATGGAGAGTCAAGGGTATTTAGCTTCAAGATAGTCCAGAGGTCCATGATGATAGCTGGTGAGTGACTGGATGAGATGTACACAGGGCAACAATCATGCTAAGGAAAAATAAGACAACAAAGCATTTTTTGTAAACAATTATCATGAAAGTAATCAGTATTATTGGCTGGCCTCTTAAAGCCATGAAGATGGTAACTCATTAATGCTCTAGGTGGTATTCATATGCCACTGATTTGTGAGTAGAGGCCAGTTAAGACTTTAGAAACATCAGCAGAGTTGTTAGAAACATATATACAACATTTAGTTTTTATAAAGCCACAGATGTCCCCATATGATGTAGTTAAGGTATCTAATGCCATCTGATGTTTATAAATATCTCTCTATTGGCATTACCTCTCTATTTAGTAGAGATCCCTAACTTTCTGTCACTTAGGTCTAGATAATAATTCTAGCAAATGTAGACCAAACCTGCTTATAGAAAAGGTTGGGAAGGTCTGTAGGTCTTAAATTGATGCCCCCCAACCTCAAAAAAAGAAAAGAATAAGATAGCTGTTTAGGTCCCAGAGCAACTAAAATTTAAATGTGACACTTTTTTTTTTTTTTTTTTGGTCTGGTCTTGAATTGCTTTGGGCAATTGCTCATTCAAGTCTAGCTGTAAAACAAAGTTATAGTTTATATTCCCTTAAGAGTTATCTCTCCCTTTCCTCCAAGTAGTATTTGGGCCAAGCTTGGGAACAGAAAATATTAGTCATCTTTTCCCAAGATTTGAAGGTCAAAGGAATTTCATGGCATAAGTACACGTGTCAGATGGTGTGTTATCTATCTGAAAGTGAAGGGGGGAGAAGGTGTCCCTAAGCACCCCTCCACTGTCTGAACCAGAACAAGGCATCCTTTGATACCCTGTGTACCTCAAAGTTGTTGGCCACCAACTTAAATTGATGCCCCCCAACTAAATAGGACTAAATAGGACTCTTGAGTCATTCAGATTAGTCTCCCTTTACAAATGCATCCCTCAGAGTTCCCTCATTCTGAGTTCCTATATCTCCTGTGGTCCTCGAAATGTTAGTGTCTACACATTGAGATTGAAAATTTGGTTGCTCCTTACCAAAGAATGACCCCCAAATCTACTTTGTGTTACTTCCCTCTCAAAGGGAGAAACCCTGATTTCTCTGTACAATGTTTACTCCCAGGTATGGAAGCACTATTGATTGCATTGAGCATCTTGGAAGAGACAAGCCCGTTGTAGAACCCCAGAGAATGAGAAAGTGCCACACTGTTCAAGCCTTTCCTGATCAGTAGAGATAAAGGCTGAAATAAAGACTTTACACTTGCTGTGGACAAAAGTATTTTACAGAGGGTGAGAAAAACATCTAGTGATTGTTGAACACTTAATGCTCTTTCCCTGAAGGAATCTAAGAAAGAGGTTAATTCAAAGACCAAGGCTTTTCCTTACCTGTATTTATACATGTACCTAGGAAATTTATGTCAGGTTCATTCCACTGTCTTTTATGTACCTATCTCCCCTCCCTCCCAGCATTAGTCAGGGTTCTCTAGAAGAACAGAAGCAATAGAAGGTATGATTATAAAAGGGGTTTTATTAGATTGGCTTACAGAAACTGGATATTATACACTGACTATCAGCTGGTTTCCAGATGTAGGAACCAGTAGCTGTACAGTCCAAGATGCTGAAGCCTCAAAACAAGAGGGATCAATAATACTACCCCAGTCTGAAACCAAAGGCTTCTGGAGAATCACTGCAGACTTTGCTATGGAAGAGTGAATGACCAAGAGTTCTCAGGCACTCAAGAAGAATCAAGGGGGTTTCAAGATGGCAGAATAGAGAGGCCACTTCCTTGGCTGCTTGCTCTATGCTGTGAAACCAAGAAAAGCAAATGTGCATCTTCTCCACAAGGTGGGTGAATAAACAAAAATAGAGAGGACTTCACTGGAATTTAATAATGAACACTCGAAACAGATTAGAGAATCCAGAGTTGGATATAATAAAATAAGGAAGAAATCCTCAGGGCTACAGCCCTGGCCATGGCCAGAGGCACAAGGGAGAATGTCCCTCCACAAACACAGTGAAGGGATAAGGAATTAAAGAAACCTACATTTTTAGGAGGACTGAGGCATGTCTGGGTAAAGAAAGTTTTTAGATCAAAGACACTTCTCAACTAAACTGAAAGTTGTGCTGCACAAGGTTGTGCTGGGCAAAAATATTTTACAGAGGGTGAGAAAAACATCTAGTGATTGTTGAACACTTAATGCCCTTTCCCTGAAGGAATCTAAGGAAGAGGTTAATTGAAAGACCAAGGCTTTTCCTTACCTGTATTTATACATGTACCTAGGAAATTTATGTCAGGTTCATTCCACATCCCCTGCATGGGGAAGAACCAGCCCCTATACCAGCAGCAAACAAAATATAGAGGAAGGAACCACGTTCAGCCATGGCAAGGGGCTGGCAGCTGAAGGATCTGATTTCTGGCAAACCTGAATCTGGCCTGACAATCAGGCCCTTTGTTTGCAACAGAGTGTACCCAAGTGACAAGAAGAAAATCAAACATGGAAAGAGCTTTACACAGGTGACAACTGGTTGTGGAAACCCACCCAACTCTCCCCTTCCCACTGAGAGAGAGGAGAGAGTAAGTGCCACTCTGCATCCCTTTTGCAATTCCCAGGAGCAGTAGCACCTGGGAATATGGATGTTTTCCAAGGAAGGAAGGAAAGGATCCTCAAATTGTGCTCCTACCTGCACGGATGTGAATCCAGGCCATGGCCTTCCTTTCCAAAGCTCCCACTTCATCTTCCTGTTCTTTCCCTAGTCAAGTAGCCAAAGTACAGCCAGACAATTTCTCAGCCAGAGGAGTCAACATGCTGCACAATAGATAGAGACTTATCTGAAGACTCTGGGTTAAGGCAGGAAGCTGCCCCCATAGCATGCAAGGATCATCATTCCCTCCTCACTGGCCAGCCTCAAACTGCTGCTAGATGGAATTAACTGGCCTCTCTCTAATGCTTTCACTTTCAAGGCATAATGGCAGGCCATGTGCACCTGGGTAATAATACACGGCATCTTGAAAGGTCTTAAGTTTTAAATCCAATTAACTATTGTATTGCTGCTAGAAACTCCAAACAAAGATTAACCTGATGATGATTAAAGAGTTAGGTTAATACATACTTGCTTTATATTTCACAAGTATATGCATGTTCTTTTTGTTTTTCTTTTACTCTCCAAAGAATTAGGCATGAGGAAATACCAATAACCAGATTTTATGAGACAAAACTAATTCATACAGAAGTTAAATGATTTGCCCCCAAAGTTAGTCTTCTCACACATGATTGAGGGGGAACTGAAGCACAATTATTCAGATTCTGGTCATAATGCTCAAAATAAAACCATAGCCATGGAACAGAATATTGTTGGCTATGAGTTTTTACTCACTTCTCCTAAAATCTTTAGTTTTTGGAGCCAGCAGATCAAGTAAAATTACTTTTTTATACCATGATCTCTTTTTCTTTCTTTTATTCTCTGTGTGTGTATGGCTGGACATTAAACCCAGTCCTCATGCATGCTAGGCAAGCACTTAAACACTGAGCTACATCCTCAGTCCTCATGATATTTTAAATTTGAAACAGCTGTCATGTCCTCTCTGATCAGCCTCATTTCAGACCAGAATATACAGTTCCTTCAATTCTTCCATAAGAGGAAGTCTTATACCAAAACCCCAAGGAAACTCATGCTTGTTCTGCCATTCTTAAAACAAAGATCACATTGATTCTCAAAATACAGTTTCTAAAATATTTTCTCCTATAATCCTGTTACCTCCACTAATAATGCTTCAATTATGCTCATTTGCTTATTTGTAAATAACCAAACTGATTTTCACATGCAAACTGCTCTTAAATCCATAACTTCTCTTGTCATATATTTGAGAATAAACAACTAACTATAACCAGTTTTTGACCTTTATTTCCACTACTTATTGTTGATGCTATTATGCTTTTTATGGATAATTTCAACTCATTGTTCAGAGGTTGTTGGAGACCAGGATTTTTTTTCTAAAATTTTATTTCTCACTTCTATCATTAACAAGTGGAAAAACTTGGGTCTATATTCTGAGTAAAATCATGATTGAAAATGTGGACTGCTGAAAAGTTCAGATCTACTTGTGTTCACAGTTATGGTTTTGAAATCAAATCATTATTCAATGCTATGAGTTTCCAACTAGACTACACTTTGTCTATTATATCATCACTAAGAAACATTCAATTTCCTTCTTGAAATTCAGATGAACCAAGTCTCCCCTTCACTGGATCTGTTAGCTGTGTTACCATGGAAAAGGAAACACCAGTTGGACATGCTTTGTTTGCAAGGAGTCCTTGTGAGAACTTGATGGTCCTTACCTTATCTTGAAATGGTTAATAAATTATACTTTGATGCTTTGCTCAAGAATGGTATTTTCCTATATAAAAACAATGCTAGATGAATATGTAATTTAAAATTTTCCAGTAGCCATATTAAAAAATAAAAATAAAAACAGTCACATTCACTTTCCCACATTATCTTATTTTATTTCTGGTGCTAAGGATTATATCCAGGACTTATTGCATGCTACATTGCTCTACTCATGTATCATAACCCCAGCTACTAATGTACTTCATTTAATGCCATATGTTAATCATTTTTAATAACATTTTTATTATTTTTTAATATGTCTTAGTTATACATGACAGTAGAATATATTTATGCACTTTGACATATCATACATAGATGAGGTATAATTTCTCATTTTTCTGAGTGTACATGTTGCAGAATCATATTGGTCATGCATTCACATATATAAATAAAGAAATAATGTCTGTTCATTCTACTATTTTTCTTATCCCCACATCCCCTCCCCTCCCCTCCCTTCATTTCCCTCTACCTAATCTAAGATAATGCTATACTTCTTTAGTGCCCCCCACCCGCCTTATTGTGAATTAGCATCTGCATATTAGAGAAAACATTCAGTCTTTGTTTTTTGGGAATTGGTTTATTTCACTTAGCATGATATCCTCCAACTCCATCTATTTACCAGCAAATGCTATAATTTCATTCTTCTTAAAGCTGAGTAATATTCCATCAAATATATATATCATGTTTTTTTTTTTTTATCCATTCGTCTATTGAAGGGCATCTAGGTTGGTTCCACAGTTTAGCTATTGTGATTTGAGCTGCTATAAACATTGATGTGGCTGTGTCCCTGTAGTATGCTGATTTTAAGTCATTTGGATATAAACTAAGGAGTGGGATAGCTGGGTCAAATGGTAATTCCATTCCCAGTTTTCTGAGGAATCCTCATACTGTTGCACCAACAACATATGAGTCCCAACAGCAACATATGAGTGTACCTTTTACCCAACATCCTTGCCAAAACTTACTGCTGACTATATTATTGATGATTGCTATTCTGACAGGAGTGAGATGAAATCTTAGAGTAGTTTTGATTTGCATTTCTCTATTTGCTAGAGATGGTGAACATATTAATGCTTTATCTGAGGTGGTAAAGGTTTTCTCCCAATCTGTAGGCTCTCTCGTCACCTTATTGATTTTTTTTCCCTGAGAAAAAGATTTGTAGTTTGAATCCATCCCATTTACTGATTCTTGATTTTACTTCTTGTGCTTTAAGAGTCTTGTTAAGGAAGTTAGATCCTAGACAGACATGGTGAAGATTTGGGCCTACTTTAGCTTCTAGTAGATACAGGGTGTCTGTTCTAGTGTCTAAGTCTTTGATCCATTTTGAGTTCATTTTTGTGCAGGAAAGGAGAGAGAGATTTAATTTTATTTTGTTACATGTGGCTTTCCATTTTTTTCCCAGAACCGTTTGTTGAATAGGCTATCTTTTCTCCAGTTAATGTTTTTGGCAACTCTGTCTAATATGAGATAACTGTATTTGTCTAGGTTTCCCTCTGTGTCTTCTATCCCTTAATATTGGTCTACATGTCTGTTTTTTTGTTGTTGTTGTTGTTTGTTTTGCCATATCATGCTGTTTTTGTTACTATAGCTCTGTAGTATTGTTTAAGTTCTGGTATTGTGATGCCTCCTGCTTCACTTTTCTTGCTAAGGACTGCTTTGGCTATTCTGGGTCTTTTATTTTTCTAAATGAATTTCATGATTGCTTTTTCTATTTCTTTGAAGAACATTGTTGGGATTTTAATAGGAATTGCGTTAAATATGAATAACACTTGATAGTATGGCCATTTTGACAATATGAATTCTGCCTATCCAGGATCATGGGAGACGTTTCCATCAAACATCTTCTTTAATTTCTTTCTTTAGTATTCTGTAGTTTTCATTGTAGAGGTCTTTTACCTCTTTATTTAGATTGATTCTCAAGTACTGTTTTTTTTTTTTTTTTTGAGGCTATTGTGAATGGGGCAGTTTTTCTAATTTCTCTTGCAAGTGGATTCATCATGGGTATATCGGAATGTGTTTGATTTGTGGGTGCTGAATTTATATTCTGCTACTTTGCTGAACTTATTTACTAATTCTAGAAGTTTTCTCATAGAATTTTTTGTATCTTCTAAGTATATAAACATGTCATCAGCAAATAGTGATAGTTTGAGTTCTTCTTTACCTATTTATATCCCTTTAATTTCTTTCTTCTAATTGTTCTGGCTAGAGTTTCAAGAACATTGTTGAATAAAAGTGATGAAAGAGGGTATCTTTGTCTTGTTCCAGTTTTCAGAGGAAATGCTTAGAATTATGTTGTCCTTGGGTTTAGGATATATAGCTTTTATGATGTTGAGATATGTTCCTACTATCCCTAGTTTTTCTAGTGTTTTGAACATAACAGGGTGCTGTATTTTGTCAAATGCTTTCTTTACATCTATTGAGATGATCATATGATTCTTCTTGTTAAGTCTATTGATATGATGTACTATGTTTATTTTTTTATTTTTTTATAATGAAACTATTTATTTTAAAACCAAATCACTAGGAAAATATATTACAGCCTTGACAGAGCAAACAGACAGGCTATATTATCATTTTAAGTAATAAATTTGTAAAAAAGACAACATGCTCCTTATCCAGAAGATAAGGTGCCATGCTGGGGCAGGAATATTGCATGTTGCAAAGGCCCCAGGATAAATGGTAAAGGGTTCTGTGTGGGGTGTCCCTCCTTTGCTAGAATGTGTGTCACAGTTTTTCATTGCCCAAGCTGTTTACTTTTTAACTTTCCTGTTGCCAGGGGATTATCTCAATAAGGCTCTGTTAATTCAGGGAACTAAGTAAGCAATGCTGGATTTAGGCTTCTGTTCCATTCTCTTCTATGAAAAGCTGTTTTTTTTTTTTCTTCCAAGGACAGTACTTCACAATTCCCTTAGCTAGTGAACAGTCACGTTTTACTATTTCCAGATACTGGTATATGTATCACAATCAAAGTTCCTTTCTCTTAAAGAGGTCACTTTGCTGCAGAATGCCTCAAGGCTCATATGCTGGTAGAAGAAGCTCTGCTTCCCATACTTAATGTGCCATTGCCTCTTATGTTTTTGCAGTGGTCTCCCAGCTGAGAGATGCAATAAAAATGTCAAAAAAATCCATATCTTGATGGCCATAAAGGATATATACAAGGAAGCTTTCCAAGTTCTTATTTAAACTATTCTCCCTCTCAGATTCACATCTTAAGTCCACTTCATGCCTTGTATATAAAAAACTACCAAAGAAAATAAAGACCTGGAAACCTTTTCCCTCCTAGATTAGTGATCTCCTGGATTTTGTTTTACAGCTTATGGAAAATGGTATGTTACTTCTGGTAAACAGGAGGTTGGCAACAAACAAAAAACACCTCTTCTCAAAATCTACCAGGTCCCTGGCAGTCTGGAAGAACCTGCCATCCTTGTTGTAAGAATCTGGTACCTTAGAGGGCTCTGGCTTGGTACAAGGGAGCTTTCTACTGTCAGGATAACCACTTGCCATGTAAAATTTAGGCTCTAAAAGGCTTTCCCATTCTTTCACTCAAATTTTAGCACCATTTTTTTCCCCATTTCACTTTCTTGGATCAAGACACAAAGGAACCAGTGTCTAGAGTCAAGTGATATATGCCTTAAACTTGCTGCCATCCTTAGTTTCTTCATTCATATAAACTTTGCTTAAAAAACTAAAAATTCCCATTCCTTTTTAAATAGATTCCTGCTCTCAGCCCCAATGGCCACTGGCAAGAACTTTTATTTCCCAGTGGATGAGAGACTCTTTCATCTTCTTGGTCATAGTTGGGATGAGTTGCCTGTGGTCATCCACACACTTGGTCACACAATTGTTCAGTTGCAGCTTCACCTGGAGCTCTTTATTCCCAGCATCTATTGAATCTTTGGCTTTGTCATTGCAATGCATGGTACACCGGGCCAGGTGCTCCTGGAACTTCTCCAATTCACTGGTTACCAAAGCCTGGGCTTGAGCCAGAAGTGCATGGCAGTGCTCAATGCACTGGTGTACTTGCTGCATGGAAGCCTGGCTGTCCTCACAGCAGCTGGCGTGCACCGGAACTTGAGGCCCTGCATTTTCTGATGTTCTCCCTCTCCACACTCTTCACCATGGAGTCCACTGCCTCCTGCACCCAGAGCTGCTGCACCTCCGCCATGATAACCCTGCCCAACTCTGTGCGGGCACCCCTGTACTATGTTTATTGATTTCTGCATGCTGGATCAACCCTGCATCTCTGGTATGAACACCACTTGATCATGGTACACTCTTTCTAATATATTTTGTATGCAATTTCCAGAATTTTTTCTTTATTTTTTTATTTGTTTTAATTAATTACACATGACAGTAGAATGCATGTATGGACTTTGATATATCACACATAGATGGGATATAATTTCTCATTTTTCTGTATGTATATGTTGCAGAATCATATTGGTCATGTAGTCACATACATACATACAGTAATAATGTCTGTTTCATTCTACTATCTTTCCTATCCCCATATCCCCTCCTCTCCCCTCACATCACTTCCCTCTATTTAATCTAAGGTAATGTTATTCTTCCCTAGTTCCCCGCCCCCACTCCCACCCCCACCCCCCGCCTTATTGTGAATTACCATCTGCATGTTAGAAAAAACATTCAGCCTTGTTTTTTGGATTGGCTTATTTCACTTAGCATGATATTTTCCAACTCCAACCAGTTACTAGCAAATGGCATAATTTCACTCTTCTTTTAAAGTAATATTCCACTGAGTATATATACCACACTTTTTTATCCATTTATCTACTGAGGGACACCTGAGTTGGTTCCATAGTCTAGCTATTGTGAATTGAGCTGCTATAAACATTGATGTGCCTGTGTCACTATAGTATACTGATTTTAAGTCCTTTGGGTATAAATCAAGGAGTGGGATAGCTGGGTCAAATGGTTATTTGGAAAAATAAGAGATCCAGTATATCTAAAGCAATTCTTAGCAAGAAAAGTGAAACAGGAGGCATCACAATACCAGCTCTTAAACTATATTACAAAGCAGTAGTAATAAAACCAACATGATATTGGCACCAAAATAGACATATATACCAATGGTACAGAATAGAGGACATAGAGACAAACCCACATAAATATGGTTATGTCATAGTAGACAAAAGTCCCAGAAATATTCACTGGAGAAAAGATAGTCTATTCGATAAATGGTGTTAGCAAAACTGGAAATCCATATATAGCAAAATCAAATTAAACCTTTATCTCTCACCCTGCAAAAAAAAAATCAACTCAAAGTGGATCAAAGATTAGACACTAGAACAGAGATACTGTGCCTAATAGAAAAAATAAATAGGCCCAAATCTTCACCATATTGGCCTAGCCTCAGTCTTCCTTAACAGACTCCTAAAGCTCAAGAAGTAACATCAAGAATTAATAAATAGGATGAATTCAAATTAAAATACTTTTTCTCAGCAAAGAAAACAATTAATAAAGTGAGGATAAAGCCTACAGATTCAGAGAAAATCTTTACCACATTCACCTCTGATAAGGCATTAATATCGAGGATATATAAAGAACTCAAAAACCTTAACACACACAAATAATAAATAACTCAATTGATAAGTGGGCTAAGGAACTGAACAGACACTTCACAGAAGAAGAAATAAAATTGATCAACAAATATATGAAAAAAGTGTTCAACATCTCTAACAATTAGAGAAATGAAAATCAAAACAACTCTAAGATTTCATCTGACTCCTATCAGAGTGGTAATCATCAAGAATACAAGGCAACAAAAAAACAAATGTTGGCAAGGATGTGGTGGAAAAGATACACTCATGCATTGCTGGTGAGCCTGCAAATTGATGCAACCACTATGGAAAGCAGTATGGAGATTTGCCAGAATTTTATTGAGAATTTTTGCCTCTATGTTTATCAAGGATATGGGTCTGAAATGTTCTTTCCTTGATTTGTCTTTGTCTGGTTTTGGTATCTGGGTGATATTAGCCTCATAGAATGAGTTTAGAAAGTTTTCTTTTTTCTATTTCATGGATTAATTTAAGGAGTATTAGTGTTAATTCTTCTTTGAAGGTCTTGTAGAAGTTGGCTGAAAATGCCTCTGTTCCTGGGCTTTTCTTGATTGGTAGACTTTTGATGGCATTTGCTATTTCATTACTTGAAATTGATCTGTTTCAATGATGTATGACACCCTCATTCAATTCAGGTAGGTCATATGTCTCTAGAAATTTGTTGATGTCTTTGAGATTTTCTATTTTATTAGAGTATAAATTTTCAAAATAGTTTCTAATTATCTTCTGTATTTCAGATATGTTCACTATATTCCCTTTTTATCACAAATTTTAGTAATTTGAGTTTTATCTCTCCTTCTTTTCATTAGACTCATTGAAGTTTTATTAATTTAATTTAGTTTTTCACAGAACCTGCTTTTTTTGTTTTGTTAATTTTTTCAATTTTTTTTTTGTTTTAATTTCATTAAATTTAGCTTTAATTTTAATTATTTTCTGTCTTCTACTGCTTTTGGTGTTAATCTGTTCTTTTTCCAGGGATTTGAGATGTAATGTTAGGTCTTTTTATTTGTTGACTTTTTCTTCTTTTAATGAATGAGCTCAATGCAATAAAATTTCCTCCTAGTATTGCACTCAGCCTTTCCCAGAGATTTTTATGTTTTATTGATGTTCTCATCTACCTCTAATTTTTTTTTAATTTTCTCCCTGATTTTTTTTTACTACCTATTCATCACTAAATAGCATGTTATTTCATCATCAGGTGTTGAAGTAGCTTCTATTTTTTAAATTTTGTCATTGATTTCTAATTTCACTTCATTAGCATCTTATAGAATGCATGCAGGTATTCCATTGATTTTGTTTGTTTGTTTGTTTTCTTTTACTTTTTTTTTCTTTTTGCATTTACTAAGATTTGCTTTGTGGCATAAGATACATTGTATTTTAGAGAAGAACTATGTGCTGCCATGAAGAAAATATATTTGCTCATTGATGGATGAAATATTCTTATATGTTGATTAAGTCTAAGTCATTGATTATATTATTTTGTTCTATAATTTTTGTTTAGTTTTTGTTTGGAAGATCTATCCAGAAGTGAAAGAGGTGTGTTAAAGTCACCCAGTATAATTATTTTGTGGTCTATATGATCTTGAAATTGAGAAGGGTTTGTTTGATGTACATAGATGCTCCATTGTTTAGGGCATAAATATTAACAAATGTTACATCTTGCTGATATATAATTCCCTTAAGTAGTATCAAATGTCCTTCTTTGTCCCCTGTGATTAACTTTGACTCCAAGTCCAACCTATCTGAATTGAGAATGGAAACCCCTGCTTGTTTACATAATCCATATATATTTGCATCCTTTAACCTCAGACTGTGGATGTCTTTGCCTATGACACAAGTATTGAAGACAATATATTGTTGGGTCATGCTGTTTTAAATTTTTTCTTTTTTCTTTTTTTTAGTTGTAGATGAACAAAATACCTTTATTTTATTTATTTATTTTTATGTGGTGCTGAGGATTGAACCCAGTGCTTCACACATGCCAGGCAGGCACTCTATCACTGAGCCACAACTCCAGCCCAGGTCTTGTTTTTTAATCCTATCTGCCTCTCTATGTCTTTTAATTGTTGAATTTAGGCCGTTAACATTCAAAGTTATTATTGAGATACATTTTTAATCCCTATCCTCTTAATTTATTTCTGCTTTTTAATTTGACTTAATTTCTTCTTTTACTGACTATTCCTTGAGTGGTAGTTCCTCCCTTTTCTAGTTTTCACTTTTTTTTTTCACTTTATCCTCTCAGAATATATTGTTGAGAATGTTCTGTAGTACAGACTTTCTGGTTGTGAATTCTTTTAATCTTTGTTTATCATCAAAATTTTTTATTTCATCTTTAAATTTGAAACAATTTTGCTGGATATAAAATTCCTGGCTGGCATCCATTTTTCTTTTAGAGCTTGAAATATATTATTCCAGGACCTCCTAGCTTTGAGGGTCTCAGTTGAGAAATTAGTTGAGATCTGAATGGTTTGACCCTATATATAATTTTTTTTCACTCTCATGGCCCTTAAGATTTTATCCTGATTCTCTATTTTTGTCATTCTCATTATAACATGTATTGGTATGGATCTGCTGTAATTTTGTACATTTGGGGGTCCCTCTTGTATTTGATTTTCCATTTCATTCTTTAGGTTTGGGAAATTTTGTGATATTATGTCATTGAAAATATTGTGCATTTCTTTGGTTTGTATCTCTGTTCCTTAATCTATTCCAATAACTGTTAAGTTTAGTCTTTTATGTTATCCCATAATTCTCAGAAGTTCCATGTATGGTTTCTTACCATCATCTCTGCATGGTCAACTTATTTTCAAGATTATATATTTTGTCTTCATTGCCTGAAGTTCTGTCTTCCAAGTGGTCTAAGTCTGTTGGTGATGCTTCCCATTGAATTTATAATTTGGATTATTGATTCCTTCATTTCAAGAATTTCTGCTTGACTTTTTAAAAATCTCTATTCAATTTATCTTTCACTTCCTATATTTTCTCTTTGAGTTCACTCTTTATACCACCCTTTACTTCACAGATTAGTTTAACTATGCACAATCTAACCTTATTCTTGGACATTTCTTCTACTGTGTTGTCAGTGGATTATGCTATTAGAGCATCTTGGTTTGTTTGGGGTGTTATTTTCCCTTGTTTTTTTTTATGTTGTTTGTGTTTTTTCATGTAGCAGTATGGACCTGAGGCAGTACAGATTCTACTCTGTGGACTTAAATTATCCCTAAAGGTATCCAGTACCTTGCCTTTAAGGGTGAGAGCAATATCAACGACATCCAATTATATATTGTAAACAATATATAATCTTGATTCTAATATCTCACACTAAGGCATCTACTGCTTTCTCACAATCAACTGAAATGAGGAGTTCAATAGCTGATTACAGTATAAATAAAAAAAATTGCTAAAATGGTTTAAAAATTTCAAATGGTGGATGAGAGAATGGATGTAGCATAGTACACAATATTCATGAGGGAGGAAGAGAGAAGCTAGAAGCAAAAATTCACAGGAAGAGAGGAGAATAAGCTGACAGAGATTGGCTGTTGGTTGGAGAAAAGATTGAAATGAAATCCATTAAAACAGACAAGTT